TCCATGTTGGGAGGAAGGGAGGCCGGGGTGGTTAGAGAGTGAGCTAATCAGTGATCCCAACAATATACCAAGAAACTACCTTTAAAATCGATAAAGTGAGAAATGGTGTTGCGAGCATAATATTTATACATTTGGAAATCCCCACAAAAGCAACCAAGATGATCTACAGGAAAAAAAAAATCCGAGAAGGCTAAGTGAAGGAGGTAGGGTAAGACATGTTGCTTTTCATTATAAACTGTTCTGCCATGTTTTCTATTTTTAGCCATTAGCACATATTACTTTGACTCAATTTTCTTAAATAAAAGATCCTCTATAAAACTGTTGTTTAGATCATAGCAGTATTTTACTCGGCCTTAACCAGGCCTTACTGTGGTGTGTTGCGATCACTGCAGCTGGCCTTACGGTGTGTTTAGTCTTAGTAAAGTCATGTTTAAACTCCACCAGTGCACTAGTTATTTTATGGTTCTGGAAAGCTGTCCAACTCTGATTTGTTGTAAACAGAATAGAAGAGCTTTGATTATCATTCTAGGTCTTCAGAATACGGGACATCATGGCTTAAAAAAAAAAAAGATTTTTTTTTTTTTAAGATTTTATTGGGGAATTGGGGTAAGGTGAACAGTGTTGGGAAATTATAGAAGGGGAACAGCCAAGTTTTTGTCCATCAATCTTAGTTGCGAAGGGTGCAGCTAGCTCAGCTCCAAGTCCAGTCGCCATCCGGCCATCTGATAGCAGCTTGCGGCCGCTCAGCTTAAGATGCCATGTTCAATCTTAGTTGCAGATAGGCATAGCCCACCATCCTATCCAGGAGTCAAACTGGAAACCTTGTTGTTAGGAGCATGTGCTCTCACCAGCTGAGACATCCTGCCACCTATTGGCAGCTCAGCTCAGGCACAGCTCACTGGCCCATGTGGGAATTGAACCCGCGACCCTGATACTCGGAGCTCACACTCTTAACCAACTGAGCCACTCGGCTGGCCCAAGAGTGATTTTTAAAGGTTCACATTCCCTAGTAGAACAGTTAGATACAGACACAAGTATTCCACAGCCTTTGAGTCCATGAAATCCAATCAATTCTTAGACAGAAAAGGCTCAAATCTTGAATTCTTTAGGAGGGCTTTTTAACTTTGAAATAAATTAACTGATAAGCATAATGAGCCAAAAAGCTTAAGGAAAACAGCACATTCTATTACATCCATGGATTAATCAGTTTAATTATGAAAAACAATCTGAAAATTGTTGTTGCTATTCTGAAACATTTACTAAGCACAGAGAGCAGAGGAAGGATCCCAGCTCTGGTCCTGGAACCCTGAACTAGGAGATGATATTAATTAGCATGATGCTAATGAGGACTCTCAGCCACTCAGGGAGTCAGCAGTAGGGGAACCCAGTGGCAATGCCTACAATAAACAAGCAGAGTGATCCAAGGAATCCAGCTAGTGGAGCACAGCAGGAAGACAAAAGTGCAATACCAGATTACATTTTT